TATTAGGACGAGACAGTTGTCCAGTGTTCCTCCAGATGACATCAGTCCCTAATGAATACCAACTTGAAAAATCCCTAAATCCCACAAAGCCCAAATTCAATAGATGATTAATATGATGCTCCTCACCTCTAATTCACTTGGATTTGGATTAGGATGAGAAGTCCTGACTGGGTTGGTAGCCAGTGTGAATACGATCAAGCGATAGTAATGGGTCATGAATTAACATGATAGTCAGGTAAAACTGTTGGTGACTGAAGTGAAATAAAAACCCAGTCAGCTGCCAGATCTCGTAGCTCAAAATTATAATAAAAACACGAAAATAATCTAAACCACACTTATAAAGTCTGCCATTTGACTAAACATGTGCGTATCATGAATACTCATGTGAAAGGCAATACAGAATAGGGAAGTCAGTAAATGAAAACAACGAATTATTGAAGCATTGAAACATTGAGGCAATATATAATCCACAGCTGCTCAATGTGACAACAAGTTGCTATTAAGAGCATGAAGGTGTTTCCAATTTCCCTTATGTCTGTTTATTCATAAAATTTGAGGATACGGCATCAGAAGTTTGAATAAATTGATTGGAATGGTCTATTCAAAACCGAAAATCAATGCTTTCTTTTGTAACTCAAGAAATCATTAATGTTACTGATGTTTACTGGATAAGGTAATTGAACCTGCTTACCAAGTCCTTTAGGAATTTCCTGTGAAGCTTTCAGCTTCATTGATAAATCCTGTTTACACACCTCACCACATACGTGTAAAAGAATTGCCACTATCATCTATAACACTAAAGTAAAATCACCATTAGCTCTAACAGAAGTACTTGGACCTGTGTTTTTCTGTTACTGTAATCTCCGTTACACAGAAAGTCCTTCCGATGGGTGCCTTACACTTCTACTGAGAACTTAAAAATGGTAGTCCCCTCTGCAAGGTGTAGTGATATGTCTTCCGGTGTCACAAAGTGGACGGTAAGCCCTGGCATTCTCGTCAATTTATACAGCTAAGTTAAAAGTAATTTAGAGTAGTTTTTCAAACAGTACTTCATTCGAAGTATTCTGCTTTGCTTCTGTGTTTATCACATCTTTTGAATCCTAATGAATATTTTTTATCTGCTGCGTAATAAGGGTTTAGTAGGAGTATTCAACAGTATTGATTTCGAATGTAGAATTATACCCTGCTGCAGCGCCTAAGCTCTACTCAATGCTTCTTTGCTGCCTAATGTTAATACTATCACTATAAACGAATACTGATTTATCTGTGTACATTTCTAACAGATATGCATTTTCAAAATATCGTACAACTTCAACTTTTATAGCAAGAATTTTAGCTACTTATCATCAAAATAAGTAACATGTGAGGAAAACAGAAATAACTTTAATTGGGAAATCCCAAGAAATCACTAGGTTTCAAGATAGTTTTTATCATGGACTAACCTCACTTGCCGAAATACTCATTGAAAACCTGAAAGTGAAGGACATCTGTCCTTTACCCGTTCGAGGCTCCTCAGCGGTATGTGCTTGTAACCTCAGGAGGAGCTTTTCTCAGATTTAGTTTGCAATTTATCAAGTTGACATGACCATAGACAATAGATTGAGTCATAAAATTAATCCAGTGAATAATACTGTTTCACTACGTGGTAAACCTTTCAAGTCAACTGAAGTTGAACTACATTCTACCACAGTAACCAATCTTCCCTTATATTTTAATTTTACCCTTTATACTAACTGTTAACAAGGCGTAAATCTGTTGACAAAACAATAAGAAGATGGAGTTTGCGTGAATCGTGTAACATATTTCGAACAATCTGATCTTACACACACTAGTCACAGATATTTGGACGGAAGGCTACGGAGAGTTAGGGGATGGGAATATGAAAAGGTGACAAGTAGAAAGGTTATATTAAATAACAGTGAAAATCAAAACAGCGAGAATAATAGTATGCATGTAGCTTATCTCAATGATATGTTACGCAGTCGAAGAACTTGGACGTCTGTTACCAACGTTTAGGAGTTAACTTGGTTCAGTTTACTTTTGAAGACACTTTGGAATATGCTACAAAGCTCTTACTTTTGTGGATCTATGAGTCTTACCTATGTATGTTTCACCACGCTTACATTTAAATCAGTAGATCCAACATGATGTGACATTATCGTTCACAGGCAGAGGTTGTGGTGGTACACAGACTGGGTGCTTTCTGTTGGTCGGGATCTAGCTGCCTTTGTAAATCTCCACTACTTCTTAGGCGTCACATTCTTACAACATGAGGTTTCATCGGTCAGTGTGCTCTGGGGCTATCAAGCTAGGATTCTCACCATTGTGGTATAATTCAATTGGTGTTAGACAGTTGGAGACCAAAGTCAAGGTGCCCTCAACACAGGTTTAATGTCAGTCAAAATTCTTCGAAGAAAATAGTCATAGTGGTACAAAGTCTTGGAAAAAGAACAAGGTGAAATGAAACTGTGACCTCAATCCTCATGACAATTAAGATGAAGGTAAGGTGTAGATGCATCTCTTTCATATAACCTTTTGTCTCCAACTAGTAATTGTGACAGTTATGCGCACCCCAACTAAGAAGCCATTATTTTCTTACATAGCCCGGACAAACAGTCAGAAACTTCACGGACTGATGCTGCTTTGTATTCTCGTTACCTCCACCTTTGTCCAGTGCGACAGGGCAGACAGTGCTTAGGCTTATGTAACACATCCCAAGCATCTCAGTCGATAAGGGTTCACAACCTGATTAACTTACTTATATCTTCTACTTAAAACTCCGCACTTGACTTCTGCATTACCGATATGATGGCTCCGTGATACACATCCTTCACAGTGAAGATAACAAGGGATCAAACATAGAATGAGTCATACTGCGCTGTTCCGATAGCTATCCATTGAATTGCTAATTGAAAACTCCTTTAGTATTCTAATCACCCAGATGCGCTCGGAATGGTCTTTTTATCATAGTTTTTAGCACCCATTCACGTCCAGACATGCAGGTGCTCGAAAAAAAAGCATAATTGCCATCCAAGTACGGGCTCTAGAGGAAGCTCCAATCTTTGACAAACCCTTTCCAGTAAAAATGCTAACAATATGATCGATATGTACCCACCACTGAGTTGAGTGTAGTAAACAAACACCACGTCGGTCACTTAATGTACGTGCCTGATTTTCGTGCTGATCAGAAATAAATGGTTGTCTGAGCGCAGTTATAGCAGGTGATCGCCGTTATCTGTTCGTTCAAATGGGATCCCAAAAGTGGCACCTGAGTACCTTTTTGAATGACTTAGCCTACCCACCTACCGCAACAACCACGTCTGTATGTTTGACTTTCACTTAAAAGCTAGACAGTTTTTCGGCAGAACCCATCTTCCACTTCACGCTAACTTCAGTCAGCGGGCGAATTAGCAGCGATTACAAGGAGATAATGGCGAGTTTCGTTATTATTTTTAAGGTTCACTGGATTGTTAGGTTAAACAGTGCACAGACGGCTTTCAACTGTGATCCAGTTGAACATTCCTTTTTCCTCTTTATCAATTCATGTCTTGCTTACGCCAGAATAAACTCGAGGGCCAGCCGTCGAATCCCTAGAAACTTGTAGATTTACTATGTTGGCTGTGTGATACCAAGTGAATAACCGCACAGTACGTCGATGCTTCGATATATTAGAGCTTTGGCTAACAAAGCCTATTATCCAATTTTGAGGAGAGTATGAACATTGAAAGCTCAAATGCTTGGTTTTCAGAGCAGTTTCAGAAGATTTTGGATGTAATTTCATAGATTCCGACAGTTATCGAGAAGTGAAGAGCTAGCAGAAATTGAAGATACCGTAGGAATATTAGTCGAGAGGTGTATGGAATGATTTGATAGTGAAGATTTTTAGAATTTCGTATTGGTGTAACAGAACTTGATTGCTAACAGAGTTGTGAGAGTGACCACCCACACCATCGAAGTTTACCTATTTTTTGAGGTATGGGACAAACGAGTTAGCCTGGTAATGTCGGTGTATGACCCCGAGGGAACTGATGCCATCTACTCAGCTTCTTCGACTATTCAGGATATGACTGGCCTTGCTGGATTCAGTTACACTCACTAACTGATCATTGTTCAGTAACTATGGTCACGTTGCCTAGTCTTCTGCTAACAGCAGCTTAAATTAATTAGGCTCGGGTATTGAATGGAAATCAGATAATCGAAGGCTAATAGAAGTTCACAGGAATATGCTTTCTACCGTTCATAAATCAAGTCCAGAAGAATTCAGCTTCTAATCCAGATTATAGATGATGTAATTCAGCTTTATCTCGTCTCTAGCACAACTTTATCTCTTCCGTGATCCCGTCAACTCTCCTCACTTTTGAAGAATAGATAAGACAGTAGCAAAATCGTAAGAAAATAAACAAATATCTCAATGAATTTTCACCGTGTATTGGAGTCAGCTACAGGGCGGTTGAAAACCTGACAACACTTGACGGCTTTTTTAACATTGTCTAGGATTCCTCAGAAGTGAACACTAACAACCTCACGTGGAGCTGACCCCACGGGCATTAATTCTCTCGGTGAGCACGTTACCAATTGAAACTGTCGATTTCCTACTACAGCCATCACACAAGGTTTAAAATCACAAGAAACAGGATAACTAACTAAGTAAAAACTTGTATTTATATCGTATTGTTTATAAATTATATGTACAACAACGGGCGATATTCTAGCTAAAAAAATATTACAGCTAGCCTATGTGAACGAAATAAAGAATAATTAAGGTAATGTAGAAAAAGTGATAAACCACTGAGTTTCACATGCTGGTTATATGTTGGCGTACCCTTTCGTTTTTTCATCTTTATCTTCAGCTTCCTTCGAGATGAATAAAAGAAGATGAAGAAAGTTTGTGAAGGAAGGAGGAAGAGGAGGTGAATTATTGGAAAAGGAAAGGAGGCTGAGGAAAACAGTGAGGGAGGAGGTAACAAGAAATCGAATGATTTCTAATGTCTATCATCACATTATCGTTTCAATTGACCAAATAATACACCCTGATATAGGATATTTCCCATTTCCATTGTAACAACCATTGCATTCTGTGGTAATCCCATTGGAGCACCTAAGAACGGAGGAAAATAGCAAATAAAATGTATACTACTCACAAACGATTTAGTACACTAGTAAAATAATCAAACATTAACCAAGATCAGTCGGCTTTTCATTAGAAGTGCGCTTTTGTGAAAAGGTCTAACATAATATTTCTAGATCTTTTAAGAGGAAAATGTGTTCCTTTTTCCCTAGCAACTCTTCTAAGTTCGTCTGAAGTGATAAAAATGTTTCAAAACAGAAATGCTCCAAATTCAAACATACTACAACCAAATGATATCTTATGAAGTAACTGTGATTTTAGTGGGATTTCCTCAAAAATTCAGGTAGTTAGTTTCACACGCTAACAAGGAACAGGTTGACAGTGACCTTTATTCAAAAATTGGAACATTTACTGTTACTTGCAATTATGTGTTTTTATTCTTCATTGAACTAATCGACCTACGTTGGAAAATGGAAACATCACTGATTAGGTTGCAAGTAAACCAAACTGACAAGTGCGAAATAAGAAGAAACATGCGTCCTGAATTCCACTGCTAGCTATGAACAAGCGAATTGCAACCAAAGTTCGAATATTAGGTTGGAATTCATCATGGATTGACACCTGAGAACACTGGACAATTGTTTCGTTCTCAGCTGAGCGTACCTACAACCCTAACAGGGGTCGAACTTCCGTCCTTCAGGTTCCGTGGCCAGCACGTCACCACTTACCCACTAGGTCAGAATCCATGGTCCATACTTCCAACTTTAGTCAGTTCGCGATATAGTGCGACCAGCACCCACTATCACAGTTGACTACTTTTCCTCACGTCCATTAATTTGGCTCCACTGTTCACGACTTATCAACTTAACTTCAGAAATCACCTCTTGAACCTGATCATCAATAAGCGCTAGATCAATTCTATCTTAACTGACAGGAGTATAAAATATGGATCATTGCGTTCCCTGGCAGGGTCATAGGTGACTATTGCTGACGAGTCCAATATGAAAACGAAACTGTTCTCCACTGCTGCCAGGCTTTTAATGATCCTCCAGATGATGTCAGCCTATGATAAAATCCGACCCAAGTTCAATTAAAAAACCTCTATGAAGCCTTTAGATAGAAGTAGGAATTGGAAAGTGAATTATGATCAGACACAGCATAGCAATAAGGATGAGTACCAATTCACTTAAAAAGTGAAAAGTGTAAAAACAGAAAAATGAGAAGAAAAGGTGTGAGGAGAGGTAGAGGAGATTTCAAAGACTAAAAATGGAGACGATGAAAAGAGGAGGGTTTCAACTATCTTCTTTCACACACACAGTTCACGTTTCTCCATGTGGATGGCAACAGCTTCAGCAATGAGGGGAATATGAAGATATACAGCCTTTGGGAGGTTCCCTTTCACATCATAGATGACTTTGAAGAGTGAGGTTGTTGAGATAGGGTGATTAGTGTTCACGATGTGTTCAATTATTGCACTGCTTATCACTCCATTGTTATCTCTTTGTAACCACGAGGGATAGGATAGTGTTTTTGAACCCTTTTATAAATCAGTCGCATAGATCGACGTATATACGTGTCTCACAACAGCATGTGAATTGGTATATCCTCAGAGAAGTGGTCAGATATGAAAGTTTCTGTTTTAAGTCGTTAGAAATCGTTAGGCGACAAGAGAATACTAGTCTCAGCGTTGATGCAAAGAATATGCTCTTCGGGGGCATATGATATCCTCCTTTTTACAGTGTCACTGGCAGAATCACCTTTGAAGTTTACATTCATCTAAGATGTCTTTTTTGGAGCGATGGTAAGGTTTATGCTTGATATGTTTGTCTATAAAGCGTGATGGGAATCCATTTTCAATCAAAATGTCCTCTAGAACAAAAATGTGCTCTTCTAAAACATGGGGACTGGAGATTTGTCTATTGCAAGTAGCGACAGATATGATCAGACTTTACTTACGACTCTTACAGACTCAGCTATTAAAGTTTATCAGTTTACCGTCCCACTACGGTTTTCTATGAATTGATCTACTTAAAGTTTCATCAGCTGTTCTTCTCAGCTCTATAGAAAGCAAATAGATTTTTGATTGATTTCTCATCTCAAGAGTGAATCTAATTGTTGAATGGCAGTTATTGAATAGTAGTAGAAAATAAGGAAAAGGATTTATTTGAGCGTCTATTATTATGATGATGAATAATCCCTTACATAGTATTCATTCGTATAAAAGCAGAGTCGAATTCTTAGTAGTGATCACAGTGAAACTGAAACCTGATAAAAAGTAAAATTTTTGAGTAGGTTGGATATAATCTGTAATTTTCAAGTTATTAGATCGAATCCTAATAAAAATCAAATTCATATTAATCTTCAATTATAACTGAAGTGAATTTTGTGTTTGTGAATATAGTTTACTTGTTCCAACTTTTTGTCTGTTTTTTTTTCTGGGAAATTTTATTTTATCCTAATTTTAACAACATAATTTATGGTGTGAATCCATACAAGAAATTGTACTAATTGTCAACTCTGTTATTAACAAGCACCATTATTCATGTGTTTTGTACACACACATTTTACAAAGTTACTAACCACTTTTCTTTTCCAATGAAAACACAAATATCTTACTATTTTACTAAACATTAATTTAGAAATATCTTTAAATAAAAAGGCATATTTACCTTGTAAACTACTTAGTCTTTTTCTTAAACAAAAAATAACTTCAAAAAAGCTTTGATACTTCCGATAAAATAATATACCGATTTCTAATAATTATATGATACAATAATGTTGTATAGTCTCTTTACTTATATTCTGTGTAATTTTTACTGTCATTTCATTAGTTCTTACCAACTAGTCTTTGTGGTAAACTGTTGCTTTAAACAATAAACATGAAAATATGAATTATTACTATCGAGTATTATTCTTACCTATATGATTTGCGATAAAAATGTACATTTATCAACATGTGTTACTTAATAATATTAATAGTAGTATGTTGATTTATCATTGCATAAATATTGTGTACACATTGATATATATATATATATATAAACTTTACTAGGATGTAATTTATACTGTTCCGTGTACACATGAATGTCCCTTTTGTGGATATCCTCCCCCCTTTTCTTTCTCTTCTCGCTACATATCTATCTATCTTTCAGATGAAAATGTATAACCATAGAATTCTTAAAAACCTTTTTTTGTTTTCTAAGTTATATTCAAAGTAAACTGTCATTATACATGTGAATATTCTTCGATCCCTTGTAATATCTATATCCACAACCTATTTTGTTAGAATATTAGTTTTTCGAGTGAAGAATTATTAGGTATGATAAATATTTGTTGATGGAATACATTCATGGGTATACGCAAGCACATGGGTATACATGTACAGATTTATTGTTCCGATTATATATTTTTTTGTTCTCGTTAATAACCAGTCGTCTGTCAACCTCTCCGTCTTCTAACTGAAATACACACATAAATTGTGCGATTTCTTTTATTGCCTACTACCATTCTCCACATGATAGATATAGGAATGAATTAAAAAGGTGATAAATTGAATCATCAACATTATTCTTCCTATCGTTGGTAGTGTTAACAACAAGAAAATATGTAAAAATCAACTTGTTTCAATAATAAACCAATATATTTTCAAGTATTAAAAATTAATCTATCGGAACATTGTGTGTAGTTATCGACATACTCTAGCATGTTCCTTATTTCATTCTCTATTCTCTTCCTCTTCTCCTTCTTCTGGAGTGATTAATTTCATACTGATCACCTGTTTCTTTTTCTACAGCATAATAATCTCTCTAATCACCAGCATACGCCATGTTATCACTCTGTTAAATGTGTGATCAAATATATTGGATAGATATACACATATTTACATATGCAAATATATGTAAGCATGTTGTACAACTTCTACATACATTACTATCAATCAAACGACAAGAGAGAGATTTCCTTCTCTGTGATTCTTCTTCACATAACTTTTCCTTTTAGTGTCTCTAAGATTCTCCTTATCTAACTATTCATCTATCTATTGGCTCATTTAACTTACCCCATTCACCGATCTACCCTTCTTCTAGTGTTCATTAACTTTTAAGACCAATCTATTTATACATATATATACATATATTATAACTGCCTACACTACTAGTCAGCTTATTTTGTACTAAAAAATAAACAACTTTGAGAAAGATGGAAAGTGTACAACAAAACAAAAGAGGACATATAGTTGGTGTCATCGTCTCTAATCGTGGTGGAGGTGGCGGAGGTTGTGATTATCGCAGTCGCGAAGAGGGTGGTAATATTTCTTTCACTGTTACCTACGATGATGATGATGATGGTCATTTATAATACACTCACTAAATATATTCACAGTTGAAAACAACAATAAGGACAAAAAAAATCGTAAAAACAGTTGTTTGCATTTATAAAAACTCACACATATGAACAGAAAAAAGTGAATATATACACATAAAAAAACCTACGCGAAGGTAGTACAACATTGAGGAAAAGATAATGTTCAAGATACAATAATTTCCCTCAACTGTGTTTACCCCTTTCCAACCTTAGATATTGAACAGTGAATATTGAATATTTAAAAAAACTTATCACTTGTATACGACTATTTTATGATCATTTTAGTTTGTAATGAACACATTGTACATACATATATACACATACATATTAATGAATGTATACAATACAGAAGCAATAAGTATGTATTAGGTATCGAGATGTATTGAAGATATCTTTTTGTTTTTTCACGTTAATAATATTTATGCTTAAGAAAAGTGTATGGTGAAAAAAATGAAATGTTCTTTATCATTGTCTTGACCTAAATTTTTAAGGATTCATTTACTGTTCACTTTTTTAATTATAAATCGTTTTTCTTTTACGGAATATTTAGGGGTTAAAATGACATTGAATAGTTGATTTGTGAATACTTTAAAAGAATATTATTGAAATCAAAAAAAGGTATAGAGAAAAATATCATTGAAGAGATTATCTTTTACATGAGGTATTTTTCAGGTCATAGTAGAATACGGTGAACATTGTATCTAATTCTTAGTGAAAGGGACAAATGTTACTTTGACAGAACATAATGCTTAAATTATGCCTTATTTATCTTTATAATTCCCGTCATCTTTATCCTCTCCAGGTGTACCATAATGACCTCAAAAATTAGTTAATTAGTGTTAATGTAAATTACAATAGAGACTTTTGAAAAAAAACATTTTGGTGTTCTGCACAGTTGTAACTATATCGTATAGTATGTACACCAATTTATTCAACTCGAATTTAGGCTATCCTTCCATTTGTCTATTAAGAAACCACACATTTCAGTAGTTATAGAGGTTAAGAAATTCCCCTAAAGGTTATTATTAACAATTCAGTAACATCTACTTTACATTCCTCCCTGCACATCAACAAATTTGTCGATAAAATTTTATTCGCTACGCATCATGATAGAACAGAGAATAGAATGCCAATCAACTCTCTACCTCAACTTCGTAGATTTTGAAAAGGCCTTCGATAGCGTCGACCAAGAAGTAATTTGTCAACTGCTTCAACACTACGGTTTTGTTGTCACAAACCTGTATCAACCTCATTCAACAGATATATGCTATATGATGCTACATGAGGCTCCTGCCTACTATCACTGATCATCTTCCTGATTGTGGTCAACTGGGCTGGACTGGATCATGCAACAAACTGTGAGGACGAAAGAAAGGGGCATCGGCTGGCTGGACCGATGAAGAGACCCCAGAAGAAGATTTGGATTTCGCCGCCAATGATGATTGATGTCTAATATCTTGTCGCACAAACTTGAAGATCTACAGGCAGAAATCAACAAGTTGACAGAAGAGGTGAGGCAGTGAAGACGGCACTTCCTTCAAGTGAACGTAGAGAAGACGGAAGTGATGAAGATACCCAACCAACAATTACATCAACAACAGGCACCAATTACCATCATTGGGAGAAATCTAAAGGAAGTTGTCTCTTTCACCTACCTACCTGACTAGGCAAGGCAACATTGTTTCAACTACAGGCGGCAGCAGCGGCGGCACAGATGAGGATATCAAAGCAACCAGGATCGGAAAAACAGTAAGACAGATTTACATTATTCTGAAATCTGTGTGGAGATCTACTGCACTGCACTTCACTTAGCACAAAGCGTGAACAAGATCCGGATTTCCAACACTAATTCAGTCAAGTCAGTGCTTTTAAATGTTTCAGAAACTTGCCGTGTCACGAAAAGCATTTCCAACAAACTACAGACATTCATCAACAGCTGCTGCCTACGCTCACTCGATACTGACACTGAAGATAAATAGCCAGAAAGAATAAGCAATACGGAACTCACTCTGGCTGGCGACGAATCAACCAAGAAGCTATAGCTCAACAAATATGCAGAAGAAAGTGGAAATGGATAGGATTGGGCATACACTGAGAAGACCGACTGGGGGATATCACGCGCCACGGTAGGCCCTAGAGTGGAATCCAGAGGGGAAACGACGAGTTGGGCGTCTTTGGGTGACGACATGGATGAGATCATGTGAGGAAGAAATGAAAGTTTGTGGGCAGTGGTGGAGTCAGGTTGAAAAGGCCGCAGAGAACAAAGTGAAATGGTGACATGCTACTGAAGCCCTATGTTCCACCAAGAACCCAAACGATAAATAATAATAAATTATTCTAGGATGTATTTCACTAAGTGAATGAATTATTAATTGATTTTAAGCGGTAATGAGTTTTAGTTTGACCAATAGTTTACTTTATGATCAGGTGATAAATGAATTTGACAAGAAAACCTGAGGTTCCGTAGAATATTCTTCCATATAAGAAGCATTAAATAAACACTTGAGCTAGTGACCGTATATAGAAAAACCCAAAACTGGACAGTCTCTTTTCATTCAAGGAAATCAAAAGTGGACTGAGTTCAGAAATAAAAACAGAATATCAAAATTTGGTCAAAATGAATAACTCATTTGTGTAACAATTTCACTAATACTTTCACGGAAAATTGAAGACACTACAGATTTCTTCTCTTTTAGCTAAAGTCGTATGTTTTATACGTAAATTCGCTAGGCATCTATTTATGAGGTGTTGTTCTAAGAGTAGATGATACCAACTCAGTAAACTGGGCCTAATTAATATTGTAGTGGGTGTTGCTGATATGAATGGATATAAGTAGTATATGTTGACAGGGTGGAAGAAATCATAGGCAATTACCAGCAATGGGTAAGGATTTCACCAAGAGAAACGCAAGAAACAAGGCATGCGTGTGAAGAGCAAATCAAAAAAGAAGCAGAAGAGGAAATGTAGCACATTTTGCAAATGACGGTTTCAGTGCAAGGTGTACCATATTTAACGAGTACTGTCCTTCCTTCGCCTCCAACTTGTCCATTCTTTCAATGCAATGCCCTCTGTACATACTAAGTTACTCAGTATTCCTATAGACTACAAGACTCAATGGTAATATTTCCCGTATTCTTTGTAGGTGTTGTAATAAATTTTGTTTCATATAACGTTAAACATTATTCAGCTAAACATATTCATTCAAATCTTTATGAGGAGTTCCAAGTGGGTAATATTTCATAACCCCTTATAAAACTAGAGGCAATTACTTCATATGTCTAGCTATTCGCTTATTCAAAGAACTTCAATTTTACTGTACATCATATTCCAATAATACATAACACAGACAACGCCTTTGAATTACTATGTGTATTCAATTCACTTCTATGAGGATATACCAATTCACATGCTGTTGTCGAGACACGTATATACGTCGATCTATGCGACTGATTTATAAAAGGGTTCAAAAACACTATCCTATCCCTCGTGGTTACAAAGAGATAACAATGGAGTGATAAGCAGTGCAATAATTGAACACATCGTGAACACTAATCACCCTATCTCAACAACCTCACTCTTCAAAGTCATCTATGATGTGAAAGGGAACCTCCCAAAGGCTGTATATCTTCATATTCCCCTCATTGCTGAAGCTGTTGCCATCCACATGGAGAAACGTGAACTGTGTGTGTGAAAGAAGATAGTTGAAACCCTCCTCTTTTCATCGTCTCCATTTTTAGTCTTTGAAATCTCCTCTACCTCTCCTCACACCTTTTCTTCTCATTTTTCTGTTTTTACACTTTTCACTTTTTAAGTGAATTGGTACTCATCCTTATTGCTATGCTGTGTCTGATCATAATTCACTTTCCAATTACGTCATAATGTTACAAAACTTCATGTTCAAGTGTATTTTGATTAATATTCACTACTTAACAGTTTTATGATTTTAATGACAGCTCATTGATTGACAGTATTTGTGTTGCCATGCTTGGCAAACGGTTTTTAATCGCCAAATCAGTTTGCTAGAAAAAATGTATAAATTTGCTATTGTACGGATTTGAGAGTGAAATCGCCGAAAAGATATTCTTCGCCGGAATACTTCTTCTTTTCTCTCGTGATGGGTTTATTTCACACGCACTCATTAACTATCAGGTGAAACTCTGCACATATGCTACAATGTATTGAAATTTCACATTTAAGCACTGAAAGTGATGAAACTCACGAAAGAAGTGAAAATTTCAACTAATCCTGATGTCCTTTATGCTAATCTGATACCATTACTATAGAGCTAACTATGCGGAAATACTTCATCGTACGCTTCATTATCCGATAAATTATCCAAAGTATATCAGGTTGGTATTCATCATGGAGTGACATCAGTTTGAAGAACATTAGAAACTTGGACCTTGAAGTTCCGCGAGTATAATTTTACTGATAGAAGTAGGAAATATGGACCATTGGATTCAGACTTAGTGGATCAATATAAACATGCTGGTCATGGAACCCTAAGTCTTGGGTTCGACCCCTGGTGGGATAAGGGGTATACACTGCTAAGAAGTCCTATGCTAGGAGAAAACTGCAGTCCAGTACTCTCAGGTCTCAAATATTTCTGCAACGGATTTCAGTCGATGATGAATACCCACCTAAAATCAATAAATAGATACCGCCAAACCTTCAAAACTGAATATTCAAAATATGATTTTACTGGAACTTACCAGGTTGTGTTTGAATTCTTAAATTCTGTGTTGTCATTGACATTTGAGTTGCAGTAAAATTGGTATTACTGTTATTGTTATTACTATGATTACTATTTAATCCTAATGTATTACTAAGATTGGATGACATTGAAATGGGATCATTTTGTCGACGTAGTTCAGATGAAGAATTCAATGATTTTTTTGATATATTTGATGATGGATATGATTTCCCACTGGTTTCATTACTGTTACCACCAGTGTTTGATGTATTGTTAGATGAAAGTTTAGGTAGTTTACTGCTTGGTACGTCCAAATGATTTGGTGTACGGGAACTGGATTTTTTGCTAACAGCCTTTGAATAAGATGAATGTTGTATAGGCTTATTACTGCTGGAATTATGATTATTGTTATTATTACTAGAGTATTCCATGGAATGAAGAGGATTATTTTTCACAGGTCCATTTAAATTTGTTGACATTGAAGTGTAACTGTTTGTTTCTGTTGGTTTCATGCCCCCACAGTGTAATCCTGCAGCTGCTGCCGCTGCTGCAGCCCACAGTTGTTGGCAAGCCATCTTAAAAATGTTAAAAATATGCAAATAATGGGTGAATAGGTGTACTATATTATATCTTATATTTAACAGACAAATATACTACTCTTCTTTTATCACTGTTGGGATAAAGGCATATGAACAGCCTGAACTTGATCTTCGTCAAGAGAACAGAGAAATCTACAAGAACTGGTCCTCACAGGGTAACCATTGTAGCTTTAATGTCTTTAATGTCTAATATTGAACGAAGATTATCAATCACCTTTGCAGTGTAATCACTAATCTAAACGATGCAACACCGAGATGTATCGTATTTTAGTGATACGGTTTCGAACTATCCAAGGAACATCAGTTTCTTCATAGTTGCAAACATATATTTCTGAAGAGTTTCAACAAGCACAAAATGTATTTTCAAGGCTTCTTGCTTATTCACCTTCAAACTGTGACACTAAAACCTAGACATCCATTGACGAATGTTTTGTCCATTTGATGTGGAAACATTTGTGAGTTGTAATTCGAGTTAAAAGAATTCAGCTGAAACAAACTAGATATTGCCTACTGAAAATATTTCCCAACATGATTTGAATGAGCATAGTTTTAATAATAATAATAATAATAATAATAATAATAATAATAATAATAATAATAATAGCAAACCTGTGCAGCTGTTTTCATGCTTGAATCTTCACTGTCAAAAGACAGATTTGTTTGTGATAACTGAACCTTATTGTTTCCCAACACTTCACGTTTATTAATACTGCTCGATGGATTCGATTTACATCTGAACTGTGTTTGCTCCATATCACTGCCAACAAGGTAGTCATTATCGATTATATCATCACTATCATCTCCATTATGATGATGATGATTATGATTATGACGATGGTGATGACCATGATTGCTTGACTCACTGAACTCATTAAATATACTTTCATCCTCTTTCTCAATGTATCCATTGTTAGAATTAATTTTCAAAGAACCGTTTTCTTGATCATACTGAATCTGATTAAAATTCTCAGGATCTGTTTGAATAACTGGTGTTCTATCATTATCCGCATATGGAGTACCTGTGAATTAAAGCAAAAAGTCCAATGAATCAATGTTAGATATTCAAGATATTTTTGTGTATTTTTGGTCAGATGATGCAATCTAACTATCAACCTTTCATCACTGAGTGAATCAAAATATAAGGATGGAGGATAACTTTGGAGCGAATTCTGTAAAGCAATATTACTATATTTACGATACAGTCATACAACCTCTCCGAATGACTTACATATCATACTAATAACCTTAACAATAAACAAGAAGTGATGGAAAGTGGCTAGCAGTGATATCCAGGATACGCCTTCTGCCCTATTTGGGACTACTCAGCAGTATACCTGCCTCTTAATGAGCAGTATTGTTCTAACTAAGACTTGAACCAGGAACTGACCTCTTCAAACGCCAGAGCGTTATCCACTAGACCACCGAGTAACGACAGCCAAGTCTTGTGCGACGAATATAGTTTTATGTGTGATATTGCTTGCATCATCCCGTTGCTGATGGGTAGTGGCTAGCAGTGGACTGGATGACTCAGAGACCTTGTGAATAACGTTATGATGTTTGAGATGATAGGCTTCTGGTTCTAGCCTTGGTGAGAAAAACATCACTCACTGGGAGGCCACGAGAGGCGCATCCTGGATTCCACTACTAGTCACTATGCCCCACTAATATCAAAATTAAAAATACGAGAAACATAGAGGCATCCACAAAGGGACACATACCATACCATAAATTTCAGTGTTCATCGGTCTGTTATACTATACTACTAGAAGGCCAAGTGTCATTTTGATCAGTCCTGATTTAACTTAAAACTGAAAATCATTCCGTCTTAGTTAGATAAAGGCAATCGGTAGGAAGCCCTAATCAATCTGAGTTTCATGCTTGTCGGTATTTTTCAGTAAAGCGTATCTACAACCTCAAGAGAAGCGGTATCCTGCCTGGGTTCGAACCCACGTCGCCTGGTGTTGTCATCAGTGGCTTTTCTACTGAACTATTCCGGAGGCTTTCCACTCTTCTTTTTCATTATTCCTTGGCTAAATTATTATTTAAAAACGATTTTTTTTCATTAGGATTAAATGAAAATTATTATTACTCTCAGCTGTTCAACGCCAAATTCAAGGAACTTTAATAACTAAGTCTTTAACTCAGATTTTACAATGTATTTCGCTACCAATGAAGAAGAAGACTTATCAAGATGGAAGTAGTATTTGGTTACTAAGTTAAATTATGTAACCCCGGTGAATGTAAAGAGAAATCAGAATTATAAAAGTATAAGAATGTAATGTGTGAGAAGATCTTGAAGATAAAAATGTTCTGATCGATTATGTCCATTACAACTCAAGTGACTGGACAAATTTCTTTTGAACGCAGAGTTCAAGCTTCAAAATACTGATTGTCATGGCTTCCATAGTATAAAGAAGTTTTAGGCTTACACCTTTCATGAGATTTCCGCAAACTGTATCGATGACATTGAAGTTTTTTTACTGGATTTACTTCAGGTGGTCATAATCAATCAAGTATTCTAAAATAGAGTTGCGAATTGTTCTTCTTTCTCTAGGTTAGTATATATTCGAAAATGCCTTTGGAAAATGAAAGCTAAGTATAGCCAATACACTTTACTCCACAGAAGTAGGTGAACTGATAAACACACATTGAGGTGGCCAATGGAGCATAATTGTAGCATTGGGTGAGTGAAGAAAGTTAATCTGAGTTTGGTAGCATAGAAAGTCTTACCCAATGATCATGTCAGACAGTTTCTTAATATATCTACTGATATGTCTTCGTTGAAGAGAGGCTTTTTAGGAGCTATCAAAGGGAAGTGATTATTTACTTTCAGTTTGATAATTTTAGCAACTGTTTTGGTAATTGTACAGCTTGAGAAGTATGTCGATGAGAAGAGTGACTCTTCGGTATATATCTCTTGTTTTATGACTTAATGGGGATTTTTAAACTACTTTCTTGAAAAAAAAGGTTGATATACCAAGTAATTTTGGAGAATCACTTTAAATTCACATCAATAGCATCAAGATTCACTACAACAGAGTGGCTATTGAGCTAGGGTAACCAACTAGTCAAAGTAACAGATTGTGATTTGGAACATGAAGTTAGCATGGGTTAAATAAGTATACTGTTGAACTATATGAGTACTGGGAAATCAGATCCCCATAATTAGTTCATAACTGTCTATTGGGAGTATGAAATGTACTTTTTAGATCAATTTCAAAATAACTTTGTTTTATCTATTCTGAACTCTTCAACAACAAAGAAAAAACTAAATCCATTTAACTACAGGACACAAAGATCATGCAGTTAACTACAGATTAACATATTGAACTTATAGAAAAACAGTTATGAAATGTGTTATCAATTAATTACCTTTCTCATCTAATTTGATCATACTGCTGGTGCTACAGCTATCGTTTGCTGTTAGATTTAACGGTAGACTTGAAGAGAACTGACAGTCATCTGTATCGTTTGGCAATAGTTTATTCTGTAAATATATAACAAATCATAAGAAGAAAGAACCAGTAGAAAGAAAGAAAATGTGTGGATAATTGCAGTAGAGTCTTGGACGCGCGTTTCGTCTTACTTGAAACTCATCACTTGGATGTACCTGTACCTCAGTGAGTGATGTTATTCCCACCGAAACTAGAGCCCAGTACCCATCACCTCAAATGCAAAGGCATTATCCACTAGGTCACTATTGCACTACAGGAGGTCGAACTGCCCGACATCTGTTGGTAGACAGTATACAGTATAGCAACGGAAAATTACAAGTACTAACAGGCAGCTATATGAGTAATTATTTATTTCGAGTAGTTTTAATCACCAGTTGACATCAATCAGAGAACCACAGTGAAAACCTGGGAAAGCCACCTTGGAATCAACAAATTCCTATAAATCATCAACTGAACTATCTATTTGGCTCTATTATACTCATTCAATAGCTTCTTTCTCTTCCGATTTAGCTTAGTGTAGATTATGATGAGATCTATCTAAACATTTAGTATATCGTTAGATATCACTCATTTATACGATAGTCACTTGAAAGTCTTAATAACTGAAGTGAATTTGTCATTTGGTCAACTGATTGAATGTTGTCCAGTTAACCCAGAGTTTGTTATCTCCTTTGCTGATTGAAATGAATTGATCAACCACTATTGGCAGACATTTCTGTGTAGATGTCTCAATATTGCTGAGATATTCCATTTAGATATTATTGATGGGTAGTGGCTAGCAGTGGAATCCAGAGTGCGTGTTTCTTCCTACTTGGGACTTGTCAGCGGGATATACTTGCTTCCCAATGAGTGATATTGCTTCCGCAAAGACCTGGACTTAGAACTAAACACTTCAAGCACTATGGAGTCACTTCCCAATCAACGATGGGAAATTACAAGTTATGAGATAAGAACTATACCCATTGCACGAGGAGTAGTAGAGATAATCATCTTAATGATGTCGCTCTATAGGTTACGTTTCTATTCCCCTTAACAAACATGCTAACGCGTTCAGAATAATAAATCTAACTGTTGAGTATAAATCAAAATCTTGTGTTCGATTCAAATCAGTGAATATTTGGAAGGGAATCAACTATTACTTGGGTTTCCAACTACTGATCCAGTGATTACTATTGTGATCCTGTTTTAAATCTCAGTAAACTAACAGTTTAAATTATGAAGAAAATGCTTATGATAGGTTAAAGACTTTTAGATAAATTCCTGGTGATAGTTCCTATCCTTCAATGATTGTCATCACTAGGGGAGCCTTTGAAAACTTAAGGGCACTGGAAGCCTGTTCCTCCCTACTATAGAAATCCTCAGCAGTATGTATCCCCAACGCAACCAGGGATCAAAATCAGGACCTTCAAGGTTGTAAGGCAAACGCGTTGACCATTCACCCACTTGCGTCGCAGACTGATAATTCACAGTTTCCTATTTCTGTCATTTTGCGAGATCTTTAACTGGCATCCACTCCACTTCCAGCTGATTGACTCCAACGGTTACGACTTACCATTACAACTTCAGAACACCCATCTCTGATGAGCCAGTCAATATGACGAAACAGCTTTCCAGTGTCCCTATGTTTTCATTGTTTCTCGAACTGATGTAAGCTGGTGATGAGTACCACCAACCTATAAACTTCACATTACAACAAACTAACTATTAATCTTAGTTTATGAGTATGAAATTTAAATTCAGCAGGAGCTGACACGACGCTGTCGAGATATTTTTACCTTTCTTGTTATGTAAAATCAAGATTACACAATGATCATGAAGAGAACAGTTATCTTGTCGAGGTCTTTTTGTGTTGATGAACAACCACTGGATTTGATGACTCTATAAGTTTACTTCAAGGGTTAACCATCAGCAGACTTCATGCTGTGTGTGTGTGTGTGTGAAGTCGTCTTCGACCAAACTTGACTCACTTTATATATTTTTCAGTTTATGAGGTGCCTTATTACCTAGTTGTTTATTTACCACTAAGTTCACTCACAGATCGATTGGTGGAAGTTCTTGCTGAAGTTTGAGCGAAACCATCTAAAAACACGCCGCTAATGTCAGCAGTCACAGATTTTCTCACTGCAGCATCATAAACGCAGTTAAAAAGCTGTTTATCCCAACGATACGTGTGATTTTATCCTTATGAGTTATCTAATGTGACACTCATTTCCTACTCATCCACAGAAATTCACCTATCTCTACCAGGGGAATAATATGTACAGCTTTAAATTTACTGCGATTTGGGGGACTGTGGGGATTTGAGGATTTTTCATGTTGGTATTCATTATAGACTGACGTCAGAAGGAGGAACATTGGAAACGCGGGAGCAGTGGATAACCGTCTCGTCCAAATATGGGATTCCTTAGCAGTTGGCACCAATGACCCCGCCCCGCCACTCCAGGGATCGGACCCATGATGTTCAGGTTCCGCTGCCAACACGTTACCACTGACCCGCTAGGTCGGAATCCAGTGGTCCACATTTCCAACTTCTAACAGTTCACGACATAACACGACTATCAGCCGTTATCATCATTGAGTATTTGTCCTCAAGGCCACCATCCCTGGTGGGGTCATGGGTACGCACTGTTACGGAGTCCCATACTAGGACGAGACAGCTGTCCAGTGCTTTCAGGTTTCCAATGTTCCTCTAACTGATATTATTACATGCTGAATGTCAACTTTAAATTTACTGGCATTGTCCTGAAGTTTATCAAAAAAGGCTTACCTTTGATCGCATCCCACTTGGTGAATTGCTCTCATTTACACCAACTGAATGGCTAATTTGATTTCGTATATTATTCATTGTTTGAAATTTGGGACTTCCTTCTGCATTGATAAATGAATTATGTACAGGAAATGTTGCTGTCGGTTGATGCTGTTGTTGCTGTGATTGGGGTGGTGGTGTTGTAGAAAAGGCTCCTGGAAGTGTAGGGAATCCAGCACTGAACAAAGTTGCTGCCGCTGCAGCAGCTGCTGCCATAGCATTCGGATCTGTAAAACCATTTGGTACACCTGGCAGTATGCCACCTGTACATCCTATTGCCTGAGAAGGTGATGTAATCAATGAATCATCGGAATTATTTATTGTTGTTGAATTAAAACCTTGAAAGTTAGATGGGATCATTGGAAAACCAGCAGCAGATACTATTGGTGGTAAGAAACCAGGTGGAAATAAATTAACTGAACTATTTCCTATCTGAGATGAAGAAGTTATTGTAGAAGGCGATTGAATAGATAGTCCACTACCAACAGCAGCAGCAGCAGTAGGCAAAGAACCTGATGGTATGGCAAGGAAAGGATTGAACTGACTGAATTGTGAACTAAATCCTAAAGAATTTGCACAAAATGGTGAAGTACCAGAAGGAATATTTGACAAAATCTGATTAACTCCTGAAGGTATCCCATTTGAAACTGTTAAAGAATTAGGATAAGCTGAATTCGATAGTGAAGCACCTACAGTCAATGGTGATTCTGTATTTGTTGTTGTATTGATGTTGTAGTCTGAGGATTTGTTGTACTAGATGGTGATACAGAACGTGATACATTTGGTGCCATCACCATTGAATAATCAAAACCATATGAACTACGTCTAGCTTCCCGTCGATTTCCATCGATTGCTGCTTGTAATTCACTTGGTGAACTTAATCCAAGTGTTTCACATTCATATGGATATAAGTACTTCATGTATCTGAGAGGAGAATTCATGAGAAATGCATCAAGAAAATAAATGAGTGGATACATTGCATAATTTAGTTAAAAATTATAAAAATCCTCATAAATCTATACACATATGGACACTGATCAAACCAAGTAATCGATTTTGATAATGAAACTTCAATGAACAACTAGCTACGAAAGCATACAGGTCATCAAATATATCCCAAAATTCAAACCCTGTAAAATTATAATCTTTTCTTCGAAGAAATTCAAGTTATAACTAACATCATGTTGCATTCCTGTCTGTGTAATATAAACTTACACTTTCATAGTTACATCCCAGTAACCTCCCACATTTTTGGTTTAAACACTGGGTACGTGTGATACTTGTACATAGCAAGAAGAAATTCTTAGTTGTACAATACACTATGTAATTAGGTCCACTACTTGTCTTAAAATATCTATTAGCCAAAAATAATATGTTGGTCAAGCCTGTGACATAACAATGCATGAAGTTATAAATATCTGATTTATGTTCTTTCCGGAATTATAAACATTCCAGGATAACATCAGTATAAGAAAAGAAAATCAATAATATAATGCTCTTGAGCGAAATTCTTCACATTAGTTGGTAATTTCGATCTCTTCTCAAGTGAATTCCATACTAAGTATGGTAACAAGTGTCTGAGGGGCTTTTAGCAGTAGTAGTAGTAGTAGTAGTAGTAGTAGTAGTAGTAGTAGTAGTAGTAGTAGTAGTAGTAATAGTAGTAGTAGTAGTAGTAGTAGTAGTAGTAGTGGTAGTAGTAGTAGTAGTAGTAGTAGTAGTAGTAGTAGTAATAGTGGTAGTAGTAGTAGTAGTAGTAGTAGTGGTAGTAGTAGTAGTAGTAGTAATAGTGGTAGTAGTAGTAGTAGTAGTAGTAGTAGTAGTAGTAGTAGTAGTAGTAGTAGTAGTAGTAGTAGTAGTAGTAGTAGTAGTAGTAGTAGTAGTAGTAGTAGTAGCAGCAAAAGTAGTAGCAGTGGAGTGGGCGTTGCTGATAAGAATGGATATAAGTAGTATATGTTGACAGGGTGGAAGAAATCATAGGCAATTACCAGCAATGGGTAAGGATTTCACCAAGAGAAACGCAAGAAACAAGGCATGCGTATGAAGAGCAAATCAAAAAAGAAGCAGAAGAGGAAATGTAGCACATTTTGCAAATGACGGTTTTAGTACAAGGTGTACTATATTTAAGGACTACTGTCCCACTTGTTGACAATAGACATTACTTCCTGCATACCTGTTTTTGCTTCTATCAGTGGTAGTAATGACTCGACTGTGTAAAGTTCCAGTGACAAACTACACTATGCATTTTCTCGGGGTTCAGTGTGTTTTGATCCTATATTAACTGATAAGTTTGAAATTAGTTAAGAACATTGTGAAAAGCGGTTCCAAAGTTGAATGGTATACTCCAGTGTTTGAACTCATTACGTTATATTCCTATTAGTATAGAACTTCTGCAATTCTATAGAGTCCAGTACCGCATTAGATTAGTTTATTTCACGTAGTACTTAGTGATATAATGGTATTTTCTGGGTGATGTTTCAAACCCAATTTATCTCTCGTAATCACACAACATGATGCCTTAACTTTCATAATTCTGCTACTTCTACTTCTTTGATTTTACTGATAGTAGATAATTCCTAAACTTTTGAAATCAGTGTCGAATCATTCATGTGTTAGGCGTTAAGTCGATGCTTGGCCAGAGAAAATCAAAATGTACTCAGCAACTTTGTGCACATTCATGTAGTAACCAATGATTGAATGATACTACCTGGCTCCTCACATCTTGATAAGTGGAGTGGGGTTCGAACCGTGATCCATTGGCTGAAAGTCATCTTCCTAAGCCAATGAGCTAGAACTCCAAACAGCAGAGAGAGAGGTTTGTAGATCACAAACAGAACTCATGCGATTTACACGCCACTACACAAATATGTTAATAAATATGATTCAGCTATGATCATTTACAAATGTATCTTGAGACACATCTAGTTATACTGTCTGATTGCCAGTATCTTCATAAATGGAGGTGGTTTCCAACTTCTGTACCAGCGAAACTTCGAACTGCAAACACACATCGGTGCATTACCGTTGAAAATGGATAAATATTCTGACAATGACTCAGAATATTAAGGAACAATAGAAAAACCTATTGAATGATTCAATTTTCAACATCTCATCAGTATTATTGATTAATTAACTTACTGTGTTCTCAAGGTGAATGCAGCGCTTGTAATCGATGAAGGCAAATTTAATCCTTTAGTTATTTCACGCCATAACTTTTTATTGATCACTTCGACAAGGCCACCACGTGCAACAACCAGTTGAAATAATTCATATAAATCTAATACTTGTTTAGCCATAATGGGTATCCGATTGACAGGTGTACCTATAAACCAACAAATTAATACAATAACAGTTTGGCAAAGAATCTTGACACTCCATTCAGAATGTGAATAATCACATGTTCCCTTCAAGTCTATATTATGGCTGACAGATATGCAGTTATCAAAGTGGATACCATAGAAGTTGACACATCAACAATAACAGTGATCACCATGGGTTGACTTCTAAAGGAACATATCTTATGAAGATGTAATAAGGATAAAAGTAATATGAAGCAGAAGTTTCAAATGTACACATATAGTTGTCAAATATCGAATAAAGTAGACTTCAGTATCCAGTTGTCTGTCTTAACGATGAGAACAACTATAATCCACAAATTTAATGATTAATCCCCATTTGAATAAATAGAAGATTAATTGTGATATTGATACTGTGTGATGATTGAAGGTGAAATGAAAATTTGAGCCGTACCCCGATTCCAATAACCGATCACCCGCTTTCCGGCCCGATGCTTTACTAACTGAGGTATGAAGCCTAACCGTTAACCAGGCTTTCGTTTCACTTCAGTCTATACTGATCTGCCAAGCCATGACTGTCTCAGATAGTCAAAATGATAATCAGTATGTTACTCTACCTCCCTCTAATTCACTTAGATTTGGATTGGGAAGTCTGACTAGGCACCAGTGTGAGTACGATCAAGCGATAGTAACACATCACGAATTCACATGGCAGTCAGGCAAAACTATTGATAACTGAAATGAAATAAAAATGTGGTCAGCAGTCGGACCTCATAGCTCAGCTGATAGAGCCTCAGGCCGGAAACCCAGTGGTCTCTGGTTCGAATCCGGCTGTGGTCCAAATTCTCATTTCACCTTCAATCACCACCCAGTAGCACTACTAGTCTGCTGAACTACGAGGCTATTTCAGATAGTCAAAATGATAATCTTCAGATGCCTTGAGATGGATTTCCCACAGTTATAATGAGAAGTCATGACCTGTAGTTAGTTAAGTTGGATGTGAGGACAAATACGCGTCAGTGTCACCAGACGATGATTATATCATATCGTGAATTGACGGAAGGAGGTGAGATGTAAATCACTGGATCCCAATCCAGTGACTGAGTGGTGAACTTGCTCGCCACGTGACCAGGAGGTCTTGGGTCCGATCTCTTGAGGAGTCTTGCAGTAAGACGAAACACCTTGTTGGCTAAATAACTGATGTCAGTCTGTGACGAACACCATCTTGAAATCAGCCAATACTCCCCCCACTCCTAAATCTCCAAAAAGAATGACAGAAGTTAACCTTAGCATTATTATTATTATATTTTTCATAAAATTTGTAACTAGGGTAAAATCAGGAGGGAAATATTCGATTGGTAAGGTACATTCACTCGCATAACGACACATGTATAGATCACACATTATGGTTAGAGTTGACTTGGATACAAATACAAATAAAGCGAAATCATTATTCACTTTCAATTGTGAGCAAAAGAATTACAATTCTTTTTATGTTTCTAATGTGTACATATGTTTCACTTCTCTCTTTAAAAATTACTCCACCTTTGATTTAGTTTTTTGCTGAGGGTGGAAGGACGGACTACCCGGGAATTTAATATGCCTTATCACATGTTTAAATAGACACAATTATCTCGAGTCATAAATACTAAGAGCTATACTCCAGTGAGTACGCCCTCTAACAGCTAGCCAATAGGAGATCAGATGGATGGATAGATGGACAGACAGACACATAGACAGGCGAATAGACGATTAAAACGCTAGACAGACACAACAGTACAGACAGTTGGCAGACTAGACAGAAAATAGTTTACTTCAAAAAGAGGTGACAAGTTGTTCAGACGAGAAAAAAAGTTATTTTTTTTATTGATATCAATGAAAACTTTGCTTCTTTATTCTAATGTACCGTCATCTCTCATCTCACTTATAAATTTAAAAAATGGAAACGAACAAATAAATTCTTGAACATCTTTTGATCATAATTACTTTATATGGATGTAACAAAAAACTTTTCTTTGAGCTAAACTCATAGGCATGTCGTATGTGTGTGTGTGTGTATATAAAAGTTGAACCAAACAAAAGGATCGAAAAATTATTATTATTGTTATTTTTTATATTGCTGAGTGGAACATTTCTTTAGCTCAGATTTGCGTTCACATCTTACGGGTTCAAAACAAGCAGGTTGGCTATCACAAATTGATGGACGTAAGAGAGAGAAAGAGAATGGCAGGCGCAGTCACGTGCATCTGATTTATGCAGCTACTACATAGTCATCGAATTAGTACAGTCAAAACTGATAGTTAATTTGAAAGAGAGACAGTGAATGAATGACTGGGTGGGGGAGGAACACACAATCGAGCTAATTATTTCCTTCGTCTTTTTTAGATGATTTTTGTCTTGTTGTGGTTATTTATCTCAAAAAAACTGCTGATTAGCACCGTATTACGGATTTATGATAATTATGTCGGGATCTAAGCTTCACAGCTGGTTGTTGTCCTATATTGTAAAATATTAATAAAGAAGGAATCGACTAACAATATTGGTTATTTAGTACATAGATAATCTGTCTGTTTATCTATCTGTCTCTCTGTCTGCATAATCTCATAAAAAATTACTTCTCCTGCCATTTCAGTAATGTCGCTCTAGTTGAAGCAGTACTGCAAATACTCATTTAATTTATTTTCTTCCTAATGTGCTTTTTTTAAAAAATGTTGGGTGTAGTAGGAGATACTACTTATTAAAAATATCAGTAGTATTAAGGTATCATGATGTGTGTGTATGTATGTGAATTAATGTGTACATCATGTATACGCCTATACAGCAGAATAAATAATTCTTGTAATGTCCACCTGGACGGATAATTAAATCTTTTTATATGAATAATATGATAAGCAGAGCATGATAGTCAGAAGAAATTTGTACGTGTACTAGAAAAATTCAAACAAGTAATAATAATAATAATCATAATGGTAATCATAATAGCACTAACCACAAGAATTTCGATGAAAATCAGACAGTGAAAAAGGGTGGAGTAAAATCAGACAGTAAAGTGGAAAAGTGAAATGTGATGGCAAAGATAAACCTCTACAAAAAAAACACCAGAAAAATGAAGAATGAAAAATGACAAGATTGGTAAGCAAATTAATGATTACCATAACTACAAGTACAGAAATCCCCAGAAGACTAATTGGCCCTCTAATTTAGAGAATCAAATAAATCTCTTAAAGACAAATCATAGGTGCATTCTCTTCAGCCCTTTTCTACTCAACCCCCCCTCTCTCTCTTACATACACTATGAATCCAGCTCTTATTAGGGTGTGTTACTGATATAGATAAAATGGAATATTTTGAAATCTGAAGTCAAAATGGCTAAAAGTAGTGACATCAGTAGAAGCACTACTACTGCTACTACTAATGTTATCAGTGGTGGTAGTAATAATGTGAGTAGTAGTAGCAGTAGTTGTGGTGGGAGTATAACCTAGTCTGAGTCAATTTGATTGGTGGCTTCTGGAGATCTATAGGTTTCAAGATCATTTGCGTCGCAGATTGAGATCCGCTATAGAACTCATGAGCAGTGAACTATCTTTTCAATTACAATTCCTACCAAATGGCAAACTTATAGTCCCTAGAAATGGATTATGTTTACTCAGAAATCATAATTTCCCATATCTATAAGAAGCAGTATCAGATTAGTTTAGGGAATAAAATCAATAGCAACCTTTTTAAGAAGGCTTGGAAATGTAAATGCAATAGGCCCGAAAAATAATCTATGTGCTCTTTCTTATGCTTTCCAGGAGCCAAGTGACAGTCAAAAGTTATTATTCTTAAATCCATGCATAGATTAGGAATTCATGCTATATTAACAGACGTACTTTAATGAGTATTGTCAACTCATAGAGTAGAACATGGTGGACTGTCTGAGGTGATAATTTCTCATCATCATCTCAGTTAATATACACCAGTGTGAGGAGAAACAGTTCCGTTAATATATTAATATTCAATTTCTTCAGTCTCAAATAGATAACTAATTAACATCCTCAAGGAGTTGATGGGTGGAGTTTATCCAAACTGCTGACTACAGCTAAATATGAACTAGCAAATTTTCAACTACTGGATTTGTACTCACTCAACCGAATAACTAGATAAACCAAGGTGGTACCTTCACTATTTATTTAACGTACTATTATCTTGCATTTGAATGGTTGACAGATTTGAATCTGCAACCTTCAAGATAATAATCAGTGAATATAGAAATGGTGGAGAATATTTGTAGCTCAGTTGGATAGTCTTCGTTGTACTGTGTCCTGAAGTTAGTGCTGATGAAGTCGTCTAGAAAGACAATGTAAGCTTCACTATTAAACAACTCAGCTCAGAGAACACAATGCAACCAAAATCAGTGAATGTACAATGCAATTTAAACAAAATAATCCCTAAAGGTCAACCAAAAAGTTGTAGTCAACAGCAACAATAACCAATACATTAGACTGAGAGATATTAAACATATTTACGCGTAATCACCAAAATATCAACGGAACTTCTAATGAGTGAGGAAATCCTAGGTTGATATTCATCGTGGACCGACATCTGTTGGAGAAACATTGGAGACCCGAAACCACTAGACAACTGTTCAGTCATACTATACAGCATATCGGGGGTCCACAACCGTGACCTTGTCCCGTCGGGGACCGAGCCCGGGGCCTTTAAGTTACGCGGACGGCAAGTCGCCCTCAGGATACGGGGTCAGAATCGAGTGGCCCATACATCCTACTCCTAGCAGTTCTCGACATCGCACAACCGCCACCTAATGCCATCACTGGGCTGACTTTACTAGCAGCCGACTTGGTTGGCCCAACCGGTCACGAATTCTTGTTAGAACTTCGGGAATCACATCTTGAAGCATGTCACCAATAAACACTGAATTAATTGAGTTTGGAGGTTTTAGGGAGTTTATTTACTGATTTCAGGTTGGCACGGCTGAGGAGTTACTTACTAGGACGAAACAGTGGTCTAGTGCTCCCAGGTTTCC